ATCGCCTTTATGAGAATATCCAACATTTGACCGTATAGACTTCTTTGCGTAGCTAAATGGTGTAATACCTCCCAAAGATAAGTTTGACCAGCTATATTAATAGCTAGTAATTCGTCGTAAAATGTATTTGTAGATGAAAAATACCTAAAGATGGAAATAGACTCTTCCATATAAAATGTATATATGCGTGTGTATTACAATCGTCTGTTTTTCAATCATAATTATTCAAATAGAAAAATGATGGACAAAATAGAGGATTTATAAATATTTGAGAAAGATTTGTAAATATTGTAACAAAGTTTTGTAAAATGCGAAAAGCATTTGAGCATTGTGAGAGAAAAATATTTCTTTTTTGACGTTCATTGTTTTGAAATTTCAAAATCATCAATAAACACATATTTGTTATTTTACATATCATGCAATATTTTATTAATATTGTGTTTGATGTGACTTACAAAAACTCCTTATAGATCGTTTTAGATTGTTCCGACCAAACCCTCAGTGTCATTTCGATAAAGGCAAGTATACACAAATTAGATAAATGTATTCTTGTTGCAATAGGCATCTCAGTAATGACAGGTGTCAATAAACAATGAGTAAGACAACTTAATAATTCTGAAGTATGTCCGATCGACGCAAATTTTAACACGCTCTTTAATAATTTACACTGAAATAAAAATGTTGAATAAAAATCAATTTATGTATGATAAAAAGTATATTTCTGATTTTTTCTGAGAATTTTTATCTTCTTTTATGTAAGATAGTTAAGATTAATATTTATTAAATAATAAAAAATATTTTTTATTCCTTACAAAAAACAATGTGGAAAAAATCATTAATCTGTATGTGCGTCGTAGCGTGCAAAAATATATATGTATAAAAGAGAAAGAGATCTTCAGCCTTTATCTACCTTTGACATTTTATATGAAGCGACTGCATGTGAGAATTCTTTATTCGATAGGAATATATCGCCTACATATTCCAAAAGATGTTGTCCATTCAATCCAAAAACAGTTGCTAATTTTCCCGCTTTTTGAAACTCGTTTCTCTTCAATATCATCTCCATAAAAATAGATACAAGAGATTTTCTAAAGAAAGAAACAATAATTTAATATATATGTTTAGTTTACATGTAGTAATCTGTATGTGATTCTGATACTAATTTTTAAATAATTATTTTTTTACTTTACATATATGTTACATATATTGTACTGTACAAATAAAATTATTTAAAAATTAATATCACGTACAGATTTCATCATTAATTAAAACTGATGTACAAAAAGCGTTCAAAAAGTAATGCAATACGTTTACTTCTTCAGCTTTAAATAAATAAAAAATATTTTATATTTTAGTATATACTTCATATTGCAAAATCTGTTTTCGTAACAGTAGAAAAATTGTTATAGGGATAAAGAAAAAAAGGAGAGAAAGAGGAGGGGAAGAGATTTGTTAAGATATTTTTATAAAAATGTGAAACATATTTAAGATATCGTAATATTAATAAATCATAATAAAAATTTTTTGTTGAATTACTTTATAAACGCTATTTCCATTTATTTCGAAAATATTAACTGACCTTAAAACAACTTCGTATACGCAGCGATTTGTGACAATTATACATGTATCTAAACTAAATGGTTCAATCTTCATATCTTTTAAATTTTTTGGTAAGATACATTTATTCTCGACTTCTTCAGTAATGTTTCTCGATACTGTACTATCGAAATTTGTTACTTTATACACAGCCTGTATCACTTCCTTATTATTTTTAAAAGAAAATGTTCCAATAACAGATTCGGAATTAAATTGACAGTCTTTGTCAACATGTGTCTCCGATAATTGATCAGATATTATATATAGTACACGTTTATTAACATCGGTAATAAAAAAGAATCTGTGCGCTAATAGAACAGTCCCGCATGACCCGAATACTTTGTGCATTGACAATGGCACCATAGTTAGATTTGGACCATGTACCTAAAAAAGATAAATTATTATTGGAAGACTAATAAAATAATGCTATAATAATGAAAGGAGAAATGTCATGAAAAATCTTACCGTTATGTGATTAGTGACAGGATGATAATATGTATACAATTGCTGATCTTCTCTATCATATTGTAAAGATAGGAAACTATCTTTTGATATTGGCTCTGGACTAACAAAACCTAATTTGGATTCTGATATTTCCAAATTAACAGGTATTCCATTATTGTTTTCTTTAATACATGCAGTATCTATGATATTAATATTAAATGTGTCATCTTTAATATTTTACGTTCAAGAAATATAGTAATACAACTAAAAAGCCCACACTTGGAATAATTTACATTTCAATATGCCTTTCTTTGTATAATTTAAATTTTGTTTATATTTTTTCAGTAAGTCTCAGCAGCAAAAGCACTACTACTAGAGTAATGACACAGAACTTTTGAGTTGTAGAGAAAAATAGTTTGCATATTAAAAGTTGAGTATAAGAGGTAAGAACAAGTTACTCCCATAGATGTCAATTAGCTGAATGTGATAGGTATCTCACTAATTACATCACCCTTGTTTGTTTTCTATATTCACTCTGTATAATATACAAACTAATTCCTCTTGTACAACTAAAAAAACCTAGCTTCAAATAAAATACTGTGAGAAAAAATTCTCAGAATCAGATCAATGATATATATCTTTTAAAACTAATTATTCTGAATCATTTATATGTATCTTTATATGTATATATAAACTCGTGCATGCATGCGTGTGCAACATTTATCACTATTGAAGAACAAATCAAAAATAAAATATATCTTATTTATCCTTTTAATAAAAAAAATTTTCTTTTTGATTATTAGAAAAAAAGAAGCATAATATATACTCATTTTTATTTTTCTTGAACTAAATATGCTAATATTTACCATGGCATTGCGAACTCTCTCCTAATGTTTGATTTTTAGTATCAATCAACTTCTGCTTAAGAATAGCCAGTTTCCCCACAGAGAGTTGCTTCAGTTCTTGTAATTTAGATTTATTAGGAATAAAATCTTCCATGTTGTCGTAAACATTTAAATTTAGATCATTATACAGTTCTTTGTTTTCATAATTGTATAGAATATTAAAAGACATATGTTCCAAAGGCAAACGCCATTGTCGTTGAAATTTGCTAGTTATTAAAAGAGATACAACCTCATTATTTTCATTTTGACAAATATGTAGACTGCTTATATTGCCATTAATATATGTTATGCCTAATTGTTGTCCATTTAAAAGATTTATAAATATAATCGCTCCACATTCTGTTCCTATAACGCCTATATCCATAAATATTTTCATATTTTTCCACCATGTCATAGCTATTGGTCTAAAAACAATAAAACTAATTATAATTTATAAATCTTATATAATTAATTGTATTAAAGAATAAATATACAATAAAACATTAGGCTATAGCTTAGATAATTGTATATATAAAAAATATTATATTTAATGAAATTACCTAAAATGAGAAAGTTGAGAATTTACAAAAGGGATATATGTTACATCATCAATTTTCCATCTTTTGTCAATAATACAATTTTCATCGACTAAAGTTAAAGCTGGTAATATGTATAATGAACCATCTAAAGTTATGCATAATAACCAAGTACCATTTGGATCAAAACAAAAAGCAGCAATTTGTTTATGTAACCCTTGAAACCAAGGTATTCTTTTAATAACAGGTAAACAGGATTCTCTTTTAAAATAAAAAATAATTTCAGCATTATTAGTAGCCAATGCAAAAAATAATTTCCTTCCCAATTTACATTGCACGCTGTGCTGTATCTCAGTGGTTTTAATTAAACATTGCAGTTTAAATAAATTTTCACTCGCCACTATTCTGTCAGAATCCATTATGAATACTTCTGAAACATTAGATGTATACACACTTTAGACATATATTATATGTGCGCGCAATCGTCACTTCTACATAATCTTTCACAACACGAAGAATTATATCTATTACAAATATACAAATAAAGAACAGTAATACTAATCTTTTATTAAATATCTTAATTATTTATATTAACCTGGATCGTCTAGAACTTTCTGAGAAATACACGTAAAATCTACCATATTATCATATATTATCAATTGCCATCATTGTACTAATGACCAAAAAAGATTATATATATATATATAAAAAAATATATATATATATATATATATATATATATATATATATAAG